TTCTGAAGGGTCTAGGCCCGAAACATCAGCTTTCCTGCTCCTCTGATGCTGCTTGGCCTGCTGTGTTCATCCAGCTCTACACCTTGTTACCTCTGATTCTCCAGCATCTGCAGTTCCTACTATCTCTAAGTCTACACCAGACCCACTTTCCAGCACTTGGCCCCATAGCCTTGAATGTTATGACATTTAAAGAGCTCATTCAAGTTCTTTTTAAAGTTTGTGACGTTTCCCATCTTTACTGCTCTCCTCCCCAGTTTCATGTCAATAACATGGTTTAATATCAGTATTATAACATACTTTGATATCAGTATTGTAACGTGGTTTAATGTCAATATAATGTCAGCATGTCAACACTGGCCCAGTATCATATCAAAAATGTTACACATTTTTGTGCCAATGCATCATATGATTTAATATGAATATCATAACAGTTTAATATCAATAGAATAGCAGTTTAATATTAATTGTAAGAAATAGTTTAATATTAATATTGTAATAGTTTAATATCACTAGAATTACGTAGATATATTGTGTAGATATATTCCATATCATATAAAGTCATAGAGTAATACAGCATGGAAACAGGCCCTTTGCCCCAAACTTGTCCATGCTGACCATGGTGCCCACTCAGACAGTTCCAATTGCTCGCATTTGGTCCATATCCCTCTAAACCGTTCCCGTCCATTTACCTATCCAAATGTTTTTAAAATGTTGCTATTGTACCTACCTCAACCACTTTCTCCAGCAATCCGTTCCAAATACGCACCACTCTGCGTGAAGAAGTTGCTTCTCAGGTCCTTCTTAATTCTTTCTCCTCTCATTTTAAACCTATGCCTTTTAGTTTTCAATTCCCCATCCCTGGGAAGAAGACTATATGCATTCAACTGTCTGTGCCCTTCTTGATTTTATACACCTCAGTAAGGTCACCCCTCATTCTCCTACATCCCAAGGAATAAAGTCCTATCCTGGCCAACTTCTTCCCTATGACTCAGGCCTACTAGTCCTGGCAACATCTTCATAAATCTTTTTTGCACACTTTCCAGTTTAATGTCTTTACTATAACAGGGTGACCAAAACTGTACACAATACACCAAGTGTGGACTGACCAATGACTTATACAACTGTAACATAACATCCCAACTCCTATACTCAAGGTCTCGACCGATGAAGGCCAGCACACTAGATGCCTTCTTCACCATTCTGTCTTCCTGTGATGCCACTTTCAATGAAGTATGTACTTGTACTTCTAGGTCCCTGTATTCGACAACACTCCTCAGGACTTTACCATTTACTGTATAAGTCCTATCTTGGTTTGACTTTCCAAAGTGCAACACCTCACGTTTATCTGTATTGAATTGTATTTGCCAATCTTCAGCCCACTCCCCATCTGATCAAGATCCCTCTGTAATTTTTGATAACCTTCCTCGCTATCAATGATACCTCCTGATTTTGTATCATGTGCAAACTTACTAATTATGAGTTGTACATTCACATTTATGTAAATAACAAATAACAAAGGTCCCAGCACTGACCCCTGCAGCACACTACTAGTCACAGCCTCCAGTCCGAGAAACAACCTTCAACCATCACCCTCTGCTTTTTACCATCAAACCAATTTTGAATCCAATTACCTAGCTCTCCCTGGATACAATGCAACCTAATCTGCATGACTGCATGGCCTGCCGTGCAGGACCTGTTTTGATGAGTGTGGGTTGCTAAGGCAACACATGCATTTCTAAGTATGTTATAGTCTGGAGCTATACATAGCATGATAGAAGCTGTAGTACTATCACATGTCTGGCCAGGAATCTTTGTCACTCTTTCTGCCTGCCTCTAGCACATGTTGGAAGGATTTGCCAAGTTATGAATACATCTTCTGAATTATGGGATGTCATTTGTGTGACTTCCAGTAGGTTGTTGCTAAAGTCCAGGGATTAGTTACAGCTGAAGTTCACAGAATTGAAGGCGAGCTATTGACCTAGCTAGGCAATTGGCAACATGAGACAAAGAGAGTGCGGAATAATGGCCAGGTGGTTGTGGAGACATATCACTGGACCTGTAATTCAGAGATCTAGCCCAATACTTTTGGGACATGGGTTCACATCTCACCATGGCAAATGGTGAAATTTCAATAAATTTCATTTAGAAGACTAATGATCACTGTGATTGTCAAAAAACACCAGTCTGGTTCACTAATGCCTTTAGGGAAGGAAATCTTTTGACCTTCCCTGGTCTGTGACTCCAGACCCACAGCTACGTAGCTGATCTTTATATGTCCTGGTAAGGCATTTCAGTACAACAGCAATAGGAACAGGCAGTAATTAATGCTAACAATATAAATGTCCTAGACTCTGCCAGAAGAAGAAATAATCTTTCCGCATCTTGTATGTTTCAACAAGGCCACTGCTCATTCTTCTAAACTCCAATGAGTACAGACCCATTCAGCCTCATAAGACAGTCTGTTCATATTCAGGATCAGATTAGTGGCCCTTCGTTGGACTGTCTCCAATGACAGTATAGCTTTCCTTACATAAGGGAACAAAAATATTTACAGTTTTGCAGCCATGGTTTGACTAGTGCCCTATTTTTATACTCCTTCCTCTTTAAATAAAGACCAACATTCCATTGCCTTCCCTATTACCTATTGAACTTTTATGCTAGCTTTTTGTGATTAGTAGGAGGACTCCTATATCATTCTGTGCTGTAGCTTTCTGCAGTCTTTCTCCATTTAAATAATATCCAGCTCTCTTATCCTTTCTGCAAAGTGCCAAATTGCATAATCTCACATTTTCCCACATTATATTCCAGCTGCCAATTTTTTGCATACTCAATTAACCTGCCTATGTCAATGTGTAAGGTAAAGTCACCATAGTTCTACCAGACCATTGGCTGCTCTCTCATTAGAGAGAGACAGTTGGTCATGGTTTAACCTGAGGGTCACCATGCCTCAGTTGAGAAGAAGGGTCCTTCATGGTAACCTCAGGCTGGTAGATCCAAACATCCACTGCTTCCTTTTTTATCCTGCTTTTTACCTCAAAGAATTCTCATAAATTTATCAGGCATGATTTCCACTTTGTGAAGCCATACTGCTTGATCTTCACAGTGGCTCAGTGGTTAGCACTGCTGCCTCACAGCACTAGGGATCCGGGCTTGATCCCATCCTCAGGCGACTGTCTGTGTGGAGTTTGCACATGCTCCCCGTGTCTGCGTGGATTTCCTTCAGGTGTTCTGGCTCCCTCCCACAGTCCAAAGATGTGCAGGCTAGGTGGATTGGCCATGCTAAATTTCCCGTAGCGTTCAGGGATGTATAGATTAGGTGGGTTATAGGGGGATGGGTCTGGGTGGGATGCTCTGTGGGTCGGCGTGGACTTGTTGTGCCGAAGGGCCTGTTTCTACACTGTAGGGATTCTATGATTTCTAAATGCTATTACATAATTTATAATAGACTCTAATATTTTCCCAATGATATATATTAAGCAAACTGGACTATATTTTTTTTGTCTCCTTCCCTTTCTAAATAAAGGTGTTCCATTGGCAGTTTTCCAATCCCTGGGACATTTCCACAATCTTGGAAGATTACTACCAGTGTATACACTATCTCTGTAGCTACATGTTTTAATATCCTAGGATGCATCGCATCAGGCCCAGGGACTTAGTGATCTTTAGACCCATTAGCTTCCCTAACACTTTTTCCCTAGTGACAGTTATTGTATATTTTTCCTTTCTTCCTTTTGACTCTTGATTATTTAGTAATTTTGGAACGCTATTAATGTCTTCTACTGTGCTGACTGATGTAATGTATTTATTCAATTCCTGTGCCATTTCCTTGTTCCCCTTTACTATTTCCCCTGCCTTGTTTTCTAAGGGACTTATTAACTTTGGCCTCTCTGATCCTTCTTATATATTTTAAGAAGCTCTTGCTGTAATTTTGATATTACTTGTATGTTTAACTTCTCCCTCTTTATTATTTTTTGTCATCTTTTGTTGATTTTTAAAACTTTCCCAACCCTGTGTCTTATCACTAACCTTTGCCACATTGTATGTTTTTCTTTCAATCTGATGTTATTCTTAACTTCTCTAGTTAACCATAGGTGGCTTATCTCCTTCCTAGAATAAAAAAAACTCCAATTGATTTGACAAACAGCATTTTCCTAGATTCTTAGACAATATTTATTCCTTAATAAATGTTGTTACAGAAATTGCATTTCATTGTTCCTTGTGGGACCTTGCTGTGTGAAAGTTTCTCAACATTATGACAGTGACTATTTCATTGTATGTAAAGCACATGCTAAGTATGTGAAAGTTGCTGTCTAAGTGCAATTTAATTTTT